AGATATTTGAATATCTGGTTAACTCAGAGAGTTAATCGTTGACTATTTGAATATCTGGTTAACTCAGAGAGTTAATCGTTGACTATTTGAATATCTGGTTAACTCAGAGAGTTAATCGTTGACTATTTGAATATCTGGTTAACTCAGAGAGTTAATCGTTGACTATTTGAATATCTGGTTAACTCAGAGAGTTAATCGTTGACTATTTGAATATCTGGTTAACTCAGAGAGTTAATCGTTGACTATCTAATTGTTTCTTATTACACCAAAAAAGGAAAATTACCTTATTTTATAAATTTTTATAAAAATTATTTCACTCTATGAATAAGTTATCTTTTTAAAAGCAGAAAGAAGGTTAATGTTAGCAGAAGATCAATGTTTATGAATATGAAATTTTTTTTCTTTTTTGGCTAAAAAGATCCCTTTGAAGATGGTGGCCTGATTGTGAAGATTTTCCGTCGAACAGGAACATTGGAAGAGAAAATTGGAGAGATTGGTGCTGTACAAGCACAATTTCGTAAATTAAACATACCACGTAGGACGCAAATTTATGTCGACCAAACAATTCGTGAACGTGAACACGCGCAACTTATGCATCAGGTATTTAGTAGCAGTGTTAAACAAATAGAAATGAATCCTTCGTACAGAAGATAGTAAAAAGTTTCGGCCAATCATTAATTAATTGTAATGAATCTAGTTTGCAAAAATTCTTCTCCAAAAAATTTTCAAAATAAATGGAACTGAATAAACTAAATTTTGTGGCGAATTTAACTTGAATAATTAGTTCCAGCTTGAATCAATTATATTTTAGTATTTAATTTTTTTATATGAAGTGTTATGTTCTCTTTTTAAATTTTCATTCAGTATACTTTGAATTTTTCAATTCCTCACAATAATGGTAACTAATAGGTTTGTTTTTAAATGGATGATGAGCAAAAATGAATCTGTTTAATTCATATTAATTTCATTCCAGTATTTAGGGATTTTTTTCATTCAGAGAAGCGGTTTTTAACCTTTTTTTCAGATCTTTCCCTCTGTCTGTCTCACTTGTTTGTCACATCGTTGACTTCTATTAATTCTATCAAAAATGGAATTTTTTATTTGGCTACTGGAGAAATTTCTGTTTTAAAACTTTTCGCATTGCTAAAGAAAATGTAACAAATGTCTTACATTATCATTGCAGTGATAATGATTGATAATGAGTATGATATAGATTGCAATAATTTCATATATGACAATTACATCTTTCAGGTTTTTCAAAGAGACTTATTTATGCTACGACTAGCAGTTACTAAAGCATTCGCAAATTTAACACAAAATTCATTGGATTCAATTTCGACAAAAAAAAATGAAGCAGTGAAAATATCTGTAGAAATTAATGGTTTTGGACCAATCTTTCGGATGATTATTAAACTTCAAGCTAATTCGTACGTTGCATTTCTTTTTAAATATAAATGAGCAATTTATTTTCGTTCTTTAATTTTTTCTTTTTATACTGCAAAATAATTTTAGTAAAAATAGATTTCACTTGTAGGATTACTGTAAGAATAAACAATAACTAATATCCTTATTATTGTCACAACATTTATTTGTTAATAATATAGCATGGGAAAACAAACAAAATTATTTACTTCTTTATTCTTATTTACAGGGTTTTTTTTTTGAAATTTCAATTTATTCTAAATTAAATAAATAATTTGTGAACGGAAATCGTCAGATGTCATTTCAGCCAGCCAGCTCTCCAGCATCTTTACTTGATGTTTCACTACAATCAGGAATTGTATGAATTTGAGGATTCATTGATTCCTGTCCCAGCATTGGTATCTGGAATGACGTATGTATTTTACATTATTATACGTTGTCTGAATCCGGAAAAGGGTATCTCGGATGATGTCCGGATACTTTTAGTTGATCGCTGCAAGGTAATCGTTGCTGCATTGGTTACCATGCCTGTTAGCGAAATGAGCTTACTGGATTAGTTTTTGTATTTTTAGATGTCAAGGAAGTTTTGGGAATTGAAATTTTCATTGTTAGTGTGCTGCAGAGAGTAATTTTATAATATCATTTAAATCAGTATATAAATTAACGTGTATTATGTGATTGATAAAGCAATGATTGATTATTATATGTCATTTGGTTGATAAGCCTCCAATTAAATTTGAAGCAAAAATCTTTCGTTTAAGCAAAAAAGAAATCTATTGAATAAAATAAACTAGAAATGATTGATTTAATTAAAACGCAAAAAAAAAATCAAATCCGACGATTTTTACAACTTAATTATTAATTTGAAACTTCAATAACTGTTAGAATTAATCGTTAATAGAGGAATTTCATTTATTGTGCAATATTTCCCGCATTAATTTATATTTGAAAAATTGAATTTGAATTCGAATACAGTTTTAGACAGCCTATCCAAATGAAGTAAAGAATTTAATTTTGATGATAAAAAACTTTGTAATATAAAAATGATTAATAGTTTTGCGTCATTTAAAAGTAATTTGTTCAAATAACAAACAAATGCAAACAGTTGCAAAAGCACTGTTGTACTTTGTTGTTTTAATTTTAATCTATTAAGAAAAAGAAAATTTTCACGTGACAGTAATTTGATGTTGTCCAAATTTTTTCCCACTTCATTTCATTATTTCTTGATTATAACTATTTTTAGTCATCCCAAAATTCGGAATTCTCTTAATGTAATAAGTGTGATACAGTATAATGATAAGGGATGATAATTGTTATCACTCCTAAACATTACGTAAATAATATCTTTTCATTAAAGTCAGACAAAAAAAAAATTTCAATAGAATTCGATGAATGTTTGCAGTTGCTTGAAGCAATGAAAAAATCTATTCAACAACTATTTAGGATAAAGTTATTTTTAAAAACTTCTGAGTTTAGTATAAGCAAATTTTCTCCTAAATTTAAAAACCTCCAAATTTAAAAAAACGAGTTTTTTCTAAATTCAGACGTTTTTGAAGTGCCTTAAAATTTCAAATGCAAAAACCTTTGAGGTATCTTAGAATTCTAAAATAGCAAAGACCGAACCGGTCATATTAATTCGGTGAAATTCAAGATTTTTCAGTTTTTTCTTTCATGAAGTACCAACATTTTAGCATGAAATTAAAAACTAGAAATTCATCGTAAAATTTGTTTATTCACTTTCTTTGAAGAAAAATGCGATTCTCAGCTGTTGAGGTTGCTGAAAAATAAAAAGAAAAATGACACATAAAATTGTCGCATCTGAAAGTTTTAATTTTAAAATAGAAAATCATCCGAACTTTTAATTAAATGTTCAAATTTTTCACCAATTAATCAATTATTTAATAACTTGCGCTAATTTTATATTTATTGTGTTTAATGTCCTTGTTAATTACTATCACCTTAGTTTGAATGAGTAATATACAAAAATGGAACTTATACGATGAAGAAACGATAAGTAAGTCGCAATACGTATATTCTATAATACTTTGATAATATTTTATGACAAAAAAGATAACGATCTTAATGTTATGTTAGATTCTTTTATAAAAAATATGAACCATAATTAAATAATTAAGTAATAATTAAACAAACAATTAAGCATTAACCATAAACAATAACTAAATAAATTATAATTAAACAATTAAACAACCATAGACCTAGAAATAATTTAAACAAAGCTATTTCAGAAGAAGGAGAAATTTGTAAGCAGCACTTTTCAACAAACCTTCTACATTCTGAAGCAGGAAAAAAAAAACAAGATTGTCAAATATGACGTTCATTCCTTAGTTAAATCAAAAATTTTTATCAGAAAGAGTGTATCATTCCAATTTTTGCAAAAAAAAGGAAGCGATAAGCGAGTTTTAAAATGATTTAATTCAATTCAAGTGTCATTTCCCACATTTCAAAAATTCTTCATTTCCTTTTTTTTTGGTATATTTGATTTGCAATATTTGTGCAATATTGTTTATATGTGGAGACTGTGGGATAAAATTGTTTCTGCAAATTTGAATAGTTATTTTATGTCTACCTATACTTGCAATGGTACTCTTTTGAATATTTATATTTAACAACCTTATTTGTAAAATTTTAATTCCATTAATTTTAATGAAAAATGTCGCATGTTTGTTTATAACAAATAAAACGAAAGACGAATATTCAAACTAAATTTCTATTCAGTTTTTACACCACTTCATTATTAATATGTTTATTAATTGTGTCCGTTCAATAATTACTGGATTAATTAATGAAATAATTACTTATTCATCAACTACAGTCATTTTTACAACTTGCAATGATTTGAGTACATTTGTGCATTTATATAAAATATATCCATTAGCATGATTGCTCAATTATTTTCTTTAAATAATCAAGAAAAAAAAGAAATCAGAGATAATGAAAATAGGTAAAAGAATATTAAAATAGGCTAATTTGATTTGACTTAGGATTTATTTGTTCAAAAATTTTCCCTCTCATACTAATTCTACTATTAGACTTAAATTACCGTGCTCTTCATCATAACCCAATTTAATATATTTGCTTCATTAATTAAATTTTAAGTCATTACCTTATTAATTAATTTTAAAAATCATTTAATATACTGAACTTTTTTTTTGCACCGATACAGGAAATGGTCTTTTCGGAGATTGTCATTAATGCATCGTTAGCCGTGTAGAATAGATAACGGACAATGAAATAATTGCATAGAATATTCTGGCTAAATTATTCATTAATTAGTTGAAACAAAATTAAGTTAACATGTATAATCGATGAAAATAATGCTTGAAATTCATAAGAAGCGTAAATCTATTAATAAATATCATAAATTAGATTTACATTATCGATAATTTTGCTTACAGCAATTAACAAAAAGTGTAAAGATGTAGAATTATCATAAAAATCAAAGTGTTATCATTCCTTTATCATTTGGTGGTATAATTAAATATCAATGTTTGCTTGGTTGGTTTATCACAAAGAAATGTTTGTGTTATTTGCATATTCCAAAGAATTTAACAAAAAAATAAAAAATAAAATAAAAGCAAAAAAAAGAAAAGAGACAGTAATATTTGTTAAAACTATATGTAAAAAAAAAGTGGAAAAATTAGGATCAATTTCTCTTTCTGAATTAAAAAAGAAAAGAAAAGACCTTTTGCTAATACTTTTATATCTTTTTTTTTGATGACAATTTTGTTTGGAAACAAATAGAGGTAATCTCCTTGTCCTACACACCTTTTGATTGATAGTAAACATCATCAAAGTATCGCATAGTAGATGGGAAGGAAGGACGAGAAACAGCTTCATTTCTCCGTATCGGTAGCTGCTGCAGAACTGGAACAAGAATGATTCCTTATCATTGGTTCATAAAATACTGTAATCTATCGTATACTTTTCAGTAGACAGTGTCTTTTCCACTGTCCTCATCACTGTCATTATTGTTAACGTTGGCAGTAATCAACTTCAAATAATTGTAGTATTATCTTAGGTTGAAAATGTTATAAATGTTTAACAGAATATTTCGATTAAATCATTTCGTATAATTAATTACAACATATTATTAATTCATATTGCAGCGAAATCAAATTAATAGATATTTTTGATTCGACAAAGCTAATATTATTTGTCGAAGGAAAAGAAAACTGTTCTTTTGATAATCTTCGGCGTATTTTAACAAGTTATAGTGTAATTTAATATTTTTGCAAGCTAAATATTGCAATTTTGCTATCAATTCTTCCGAAACACTATGCTAATTTATTATTCAATACTTGTGGTTTTAACTCTTTTGTTTATCCTATTCCAAGGTTAGTCTATTTTTCACTTATTTAATTTGATTACTCATTAGCGAGAATATTAACAAATGAATTATTGAATTGGGCAACAGATACAACTGCTGATATAGTCAAAATAGATTTTCAAGAATATAAAAATTACTTGAAAATAGTTGAGGAATAATGTCTAAGGCATGAATTATGAAATAAGTGAAACAAAATTTTTTCTTTCCAAAAAGGAAATTGCATGAATTGGAATGAAAATTAAAATTTCATGAGTTAGTTCTGTGCGAGAATTTCCCAGCAAATTTTATTTGAATAAAGATGGAACGATTTCAAAGTTTATTTTATCTGATAATCAAAGATTATAAGAACCCATAAACTTAATGTAAAAAGTTTAATTAGTTTAGCAAAAAAGGCTGGAAGAGAATGTTATTCTTTTAATGATAGCAAAATTTGTTGTTAGACACAATTTCAATTCATAAGTCATCGCTAAATTTCATATTTTCATTGCATTTCCAACATTTTTGCTTAAAAATTCCTTTGCTTTTAACAACTTTTTGAAGAATACAAACTTAATTTCATTAATGAAAAAGGGAAAAGTTTCTCATTTTAGGTTGATTTTGTTAAAGTACATAATCTTTAAAAGCTATGATTAAAGATCAGAAAGTGAACAGAAAAAAGAAATTGTATCAAAATTAAAGTTAGGCAATTTTTAAAATTCAATTCTTCAAAAATATTTAAGTATTTCTTATAGAATTACCATTGTTTACGCTACTAAGCTTATTCCCGGCAAATTAGTAATGAATTTATCAATAATGACTATCAAGCAAATATCGCTAATTGAAATTTGGTTTCAGAAGTTAATGGTGATAATAATAATCCAATAACGAAACGTTTCAATTGTCGCAATGGTTGTTGCGATCAACACGAATGGTGCCGATTTTGGGCATCCGCGGGGGAATGTACCGCTAATGCACGCTGGATGATCGATAATTGCCAATTAGCCTGCAACACTTGCCAAAACGGTATGAATTAGTTCCGAGGATAAGTCAAGGTGAAATGAAAGTGTATATGTGTGCATGTGTGTATGTGTATGTGTATGTATCTGTACATGTGTGTATGCGTGTATGTGTATGTATATACGTGTATGTGTGTATGTGTAATGATTTGCAAAAATAAGTTGTTTGATTGAATGCATATTGTTTCCCCTCTTCATGTATGTCCTGCCAGAAATGTCTCCCCCTCTTCCGCCTTGTCATCTTTCCCACGATGATCCCTAAAATGAACATTTGATCATTGTTGATAATGCGAGGAGATAGTCTGATAAGATTATAAAGATAACAAAGATGATGTAGTGGTAATTATATATTCTTGATAATAAAAATAATAATATCAATATAATAATAATAATAATATTATACGGTAATGAATTTTATTAATCGTTTAATTTATAATTTCGCAAATGAACTTCAATTTCTTGAAAAGTTAAAATTTAATGAAACATTTGCAAATTCATAAATTTGTGCATCAGTTTAATAGTTAGCATGTTAGTCTATTTGCTCCAAATGTTATTTTTATTAACTAATTCCAATCTTCAATTATTTCCAGAATTCTTCTTGATAATTTGATAAATATACGTTGTCAAATCAAATGACAGTTTTTCATTTTTCTTAATTTTAAATTTTCAACAATTCTTATTTTTCATTCATTTTTTTCTTTAACTAATTAGGAGCGGAAATTTTTAAAGAAAAAAAAGCGAAAAATTATTATTTCCATGTTTTTTTTTGCTGACAATCTAACAATGTTAGTTTTCAACAGTGACAAATAATTTGGAAACAGTAACCCAAATTTAAAAAAAAAAAAAAAGGAATTCTCAACATATTTATTACCTGAAACTATCATTTATGATAATTAATTTATTGATTGAAATTTATTCTTAGTTTGATAAAAATATCTAATAAGATTCTTTGAAAAAGCAATGAATGTTCCACTGCACCTATGGTACCATTCAAATTAAACTTCGTTACATTATGCATTAATGAGATAGTTTTCTTTCCCATTCGATAATTAAAAAAAAGTTTGGTACAATTTGATTGAAATGCTTTTATAAATTTGCAAGTTATAACAGATCTTATTACAATTTTAAAATGAATGGTAAATAAAGTAACAGTAATTCATCAACTACTGTATCATTTCATCTCTTCCCCATTGTTTTTTGGTATTTTATTGTTCTATTGGTTTTTTTTTTTTGTTTTAAGAAACACTTTTTCACATTTAAAAAGTTAAATTTTAGATAGTTTCATTTGTTCGATTTTCCAAGCATTTCTTACAATCACTTCGCCACTTTATAATACTTAACGTTGTTATAAGTGATCAACTGATAGCCTTTTCATGGCTAGATATCAAGTAATTTTGGTAATTGATTGATAAGCTCCACTATTTTTCAAAAGCTATTCGTTTCAAAATGATTGGCAATGGCTTCTTAAAAAACTTAGAATTCTCTCCGATAAATTTTATCTATTCATAAGATGAGTTATTTTACAGTGTAGCTTTGAAAGAGTAGAATATTAGAAGTTTGAATTAACAATAAACTTTGTCGAATTGTATTATCATTTGATCGTAATTAAATTTTTGTCAACGAAACGGCAAAAATCTTACATTATTAAATTCTTTTCTCTTTTTTTTTCTTTGAATAAATCCAAATTGGTGAGAGTTATTTCGTGTTTTATTGAATAATGCTTCCAGTTTTTCGATTTACAATTACATGTCATGAAGTTAGCATACCAAAATAAATATAAATTTTATTTCTTCTTTCAAAAGGAAAGATTTTCGCAAAGGACGACGTATTTATCTATTACAAAAAGAAAGAAGGAAATAATTAGCTTTATGACCATCGTATAACACGTTTTTTAAACTTTTTAAGGAGAAATTTTACCAAAAATATCTGTTCAAAATAAAAAGGTCATTTTCACAAACTATTTTACTTCAGTAATTTTCATCAAAAATTCATTTTAAACTTCCACTGGAAAGCAAAAATGAAATTAGCTGTAATTTTTTCTTTTGATTAAATTCAAATTAATTTTCTTGATTATTTTTTTTCTTTGATAGCATCAAAAAGTTAACTGAAATATAGCAAATGGATGAAAATTTTTGAATATTTATTTATTGAATTCATTTTCCATACTGGTAGAAAATTTTTTAATTGATAACTGACAAATTAATTATAAAACTATTGTTTAGTGATATTAGTAATATACTTCAAAGTCCAAATCCTCACATTTTGTTAGATTGTTGTTTTAATGAAAACTGCTTCTTTTTGTATTTTAAATGACATAAAAAAAATTCGAAGTTTATAATTCAAAAGTGACCGACAAGTTTTCAATAATATTATTAAAACACTGAGACTATTATCAATGAAATCAAATAGAAATGAAATGTTAATGTCACTGAAAACACTTCTGATTGTTTTCTGATATCAGAAGTTGTGGATATCAATTTCTGATTATCAACAGAATTATCGAAAAGAGTGTAAGCCGATGCGTGTAAATAAAAAAAAAAAAGGAAGTAAAAGAGTACAAGCTTGGTACTTTGTTGGTAATTTCATTTAATTAGATATTAATTTAAATCTTTCGTAATATAATATTTAATATGATAATATTCAAAGATCTCTGTTCATGTTAAATTGAAAATGTTAAAAATTGTTAAAGGATAAAGATAAATGTTGAATTAGACGGTGATTCATTCACCTTTCATACTATTGCGGTGTTTTAAGCTGTTTCAAAATTTTTGAGCAAAAAAAAGATTTGAAAAATAAGGCAAAATGTAAACATCGTTTAATGATTTATCAATCAACAATATTCGATTCTAACTTATCAATCAATAATATTCGATCTCTTATCAATCAAAAATATTCGATCAACTTATTGCAACAGCTCATAAATTTGCTTAACAATTTGATAAGCATAAATGAGAAAATATTGATGATTATTTACTAATATCTAATTAATAGTTCTTGTATTTCCTTTTCACATTTAGATAATTAAATTTAGATTTCGAAACTTAAATTAACAATGTAATTCCTTCATCTTTTTCAATCATCAGTTATTATTTGATTGCATTGCAATGGTACCCTGAAGTCATATCTTTTTAATATTCCATTTTTTATTTTTTTTTACTAAAATTAATAAAATTGAGGATAGAGTGGAATGTTGAAAAGAGATATTATGATTGACCTATTGTTGGTAGAAAAGTTGACAATGAAGGAGAGAGAGAAAGAAAGAAAGAAGGAGAGAAACAATACTGTCAATAATACTTATCAAATTTTTCGAGGTATTCTGTCAAACTATCACTTTATAGAAATAAAATGTGTCATAATATATTGTAGAAAATAATTAAATTGCAAGCATTTTCATAGGGACAAATGCGACGAAAACTAATATTTTGTCATCTCAATTGTATTTATTTGGAGTTTAAAAAATTTCAAAATGTAGTGAAATTGAAAACTAAAATTTTTCGAGACAGAAAATATTGACATTTTGTAGTTTGCGTTTGTTTTTCCAAAGTTTGCGATATGGATAAGTCGATGAACAGGTAGAAGAGCCAATACAAATAAAAAATGAGAAACATTACAGTTGTTGGAATTGCTTAGATGACATCAAAACAACCGATAGCTAAAGATATTTGTTAGTGGAATTCAAAAGTGACGTTACTTATATAGTAGCTGAGATATTCTGGAAGTTTTATCGAACTTCTTGTTTTAATTAATTAAAAGTAACTGGTGACTATTTAGAATTCGAATAAGTTTCCTTCTTCTTAATAAACATCGCAGAGTACACGAGATCTATGTCTTTCCTAACATTTTTAATGAGAAAGGCTAATTAGCAAAAGATTATTGAATGAAAAATGACATAGTGCAGGAAATCATTTGAAAATATGTAAACATTTAAAAGGAATATGTCATAAATTAGAAAAATTGTTTCAATGCATCTTTAGGATAATAACGATATCAGACAATAATTTGGAAACAAGTTTTTGAAAACTGAGGAAAATCAACATCGGTTAATTGAACAAACGATTTATTTCAAATTATAATATAGCACAATATTGAGATACTACCGTAATTAAGTTGAATAATTAAAGGTTACACGCATTTTTATGGTCTAGGAATAATCCTAATTTTCAATTTATCATTTGTTATTTTATATGATTAGAAATGTTTTTGAAATTCTGTGAAGTTAAAACAATTTTGGTTATTGCTTATGATTTTTCTATTAAATAATTCTAGTTTAAATTAATTTTTTATGTCAAATTTCTGTGTTCTTTCTCTCTTTCTCTTTCATAGTTGTGATTGTGATTATATTATATACTTAATATATTGATTCCAATCATATTATACACCTATACGACAACAAAGGCATTGGAATGGTTAAATCAATGTCATACGATTTTCGCAATTAATATACTTTTCTTAATGATTCATTTGCTTTTGCGGATTCTTATTTCATATTTAATTCACTCACTAAGTTACTCAATTAATTAGAGTAATTCTTTGGGCGTAAATTTTCTAAACGAAGTTTTGTGGTATCAAAATATTACAATGATAAGTGGAATTGGCGAATGAAAACAACTTAAAAGTGTAATTGCTAGAAATTATTTACTATAAAAGTTTTTACAGCATTATATGCTGAATACATTAGCGCCATTATAAGAGTGAATGAAAAATAAGAAGTTGATATATGTCACCGTCGAAAAAACTTGTTATTTTCGATAAGAAGCTTTTTAATAAATCAAAGTATTTTATGGGCTTTTTCCCTATATCTTAATGCTTTTAAATGTAACATTATATTCATATTTTTAAAAATTAAATCATTTCAATTTCTATCTTTTGAAATAAATTAACCATTTTTGATAACTTTATCAGCCGAGACATGCAGTGACAGAAGGAATTAAATGATAATAATAACAAAGTAAATTTGAAATCATGTACATTGTAGTTATAAAACAACCTGCAAAATCTACAAACTTGAAATTCAATCGATTTTTGGTCAAAACAAGTTATAGTAATATACACCTTACAGGACTAAAAGCTGATAAGCGGGCATGAGTTTGCATGCAAAGGTGTAATAGCATTTTAACAAATAATTGTTGACTGCTATATTCTTCTAGATTTGTACCTGATATTTATTCAAGTAATTAATTTAATTAATTATGAAAAAAATGGAAAAGGCAAACCATTAACAGTATAAGTACTTTTAAATATATTGCCCAAAAAAATATTCAAAAATCAATTTGTCCCTTGACAGCCCATTTATTATTTTGAGACCAATTCGAATAATTCATCACTGACTTTCAATTTAACTTCCAGGAATATTACGACGACCAGTTCATGGCCATCATGGTCGATTATCGACCGCTACAATACGCAACCTTCATAGATTGAAGAAAAAGATGAAAAGGAAACGTCTCCGCAAAAATAAGCAAAAAAGGTATATTTTTGTTGAAATTTGTTTAATTAAGTCAATATTGAAATTGTTTGTAAGATGAAATTATATTTGAATTTTAATAAGCAGTGGAGATAGCTTTTGAGAATAAATTAGTCGCATCTCGGAATGTAATGGAGAAACAAAATATAAAAATATTTTCAGACCCGCAAGAAATCGTCAACATCGACCAAATAACCATTCAACTGTCACTTTGCGTCCAACACATAAAACTGCAGTGACGCGACGATTAACAGTCCTTGACCGATGCAAACAAATTCAGATCAATCCATCGAATGCAGCCGAAATTTTGCTCCGTGAACGGCTCATTTTCTCAGTTGAAGGTTAGTTTCAGTCTTGCAAATTGAAACAACCTGGATGATCAACTTACCTGGCAATGTCAGATGAGATCAGTACAACATTCATAATGAAGTTTTCAAGATGAACTTTTGAAGTTTGTTGGATTTTTCTGCATTCCTATCAGTCAACCGATAGAATCTTTTTTTTTGCCTTCTTTTTTCAGCTTATATTACAACAGAAAACGTTAAATTTTAGCAAAAAAAAAGACCAGTTTTCAATTCGTTTTATGCAAATTGCCATTTCTTCTTTTTTTATTTCGAATAAAAAACGTATTGCCCGATTGAGTGGTAACCTATGAAACCTATGAGATTTTGCCTACGTGCAATATTCCACGCTGAAAAGCTGATTTGATAAAGTCATTAATTAATGGTTCTGTATCTTAACTCGTAAATTATAGTGAAAATATACAAATTTGGCTAATTTAGAGTTAATTGAAGCTACTGTAATCTGCGATATAAATATTCCAGATTCATCAGGTCGACAGCCATTAACGCAAGAAGAAGTGGTACGGTCGAATATCGCCTTCGGCTGTGTGCCACGTTTAGATGAAGCAGAATGTCAACGTTCTCTTTGTTACAATCTTTATTACCGTACTTTGGATGGTACATGCAATAATCTATTTCGACCCCTACGTGGCGCTGCTTTTCGACCCTACAATAGGTTATCAATAATTTGAAGATTTGGTGTCAACATCAAATGTTAACAATGTTTTGTAAGCAATAAAGATGGAGTCAAATTAATAATCTTTAATTTCCATGAAATAAATTCATTAAAAATGATAAGTCATAGTGATTGTGATAAAAGTATCTCTTTATTAATTCGCTTTAATTTCATTAATATATTTTAGATTGCTATTCCCAGAATATGACAACAAACTTTCAGAGCCAGTTGGTTCGTTTTTAACTCCTAAATTTGTATCTTCTTGAATGTTAACTTAACTTTTCTTCTGCTTCTTTATTCAATAATTATGACAAACTAAATTTTGACTTTAGATTTGTGGAAGAGTAATTAATCTAAATTAGGATTGAAGATAAAACCGAATATTTAATTTATTTCCGGTTCCATCCTTCCAATTCGACCGAATGCTCGTGAAGTTAGCCGTTTGATACTTTCATCTCAAAAAACGGTGCAACATCGAGAATACAACGCTTTACTAATGCAGTGGGGACAATATCTCATTCATGAAATGGCAAAGACGACGCTTGTACCATCGGCCAAGTGCAGTGTTTGCCAGAATATTCAGGGTCAATGTATGACTGTGCCTATCTTGCTAAAAGATCCCAATAAAAAGCACGTTTTTTTGCTTATTTTTACATTTGATAAAATTCTATTTCAAATATAATGATGACAGCACTTGCTATTCTTTTTTATATTTGAAAAAATTTTGAAAAGTTCAAAAAATTTTTAATTTTAGTTTCAAATCTAATAGATGCATTCGGGTTTCACGTTCTAGTGCCATATGTGGTTCCGGAAAACAAAAACCACGACAACAGCTTAATGAAAACACTAATTTTATTGATGGTTCACCAATTTATGGATCAAGCATTGGGGTGAATTACTTTTATAAGATAGTATTTCTAATGTTCCTTTCCATTATCAAAAACATTTCTTCACTAATAAGGCGTAGAATAACAAAGGAAATGATATGAAAAAGTACAATTATCCAAAGCTTTTTTCACATCATTCATATGATTATGAAATTATGAATGTATTATATTTAAATTTTAGGACTTACATAAATTTCGAGATGGTAAGACAGGTTTTTTGAAGACAGTTTTTTTCAATGGATTTCGTTTGCTTCCATTCGACACAAGAACATGTCGGAATGCTGCATCCTGTTCAGCAATTTTCGTTGCTGGTGACAGTCGTATAAACTTATTCATAGGCCTTAGCTCATATCACATTATCTTAACACGAGAACATAATCGGTATGCTTCATTTAGCAAAAATTTCTAATTTTGCTAATTAATTTGGTGTGAAAATAAATGAAATCATCCAATAGAATTACTCTAAAGCAAAAAAAAAATATGTATATATATATATATATATCAATATTACTAATAATCTGAAATAAAACATCAATTTTTAATTACGATAAAGTAATTATCTATTATTTTTTGAAAATTTCAACAAAAAATTGATTATGAAATAATAATGAAAAGGTATGAATGAAAGTTTTTATATGAACAACACAGTATAACACCTAATGGTAGGAAAAAATTTCTTATTTTTAAACTTTAATTATTGCATCAATAATTGTTATATCAGCACTTTTATTATCATTTGACTGTTATTAAAGGTATATCAACAAAATAAGGCAAATTGAATTGAATTGTTTTTCCATTTTTCATATGAGATTTATCAATTTATTGAATTTACATTAATCATTAAACTATTGCTATTTAGCCCAAAAAAATTCATTAAACCCACATATATTGCACCTTTATCTTCGCATCCGAAAAATGATAAGTTAACTGACTTTTTTGATAAGTTGACTGATGTTGTTTGAGTGCTTCTTTTAGATTACGTAAAGTATCGGTTAAAATAAGTACTCTCTACCAGATAACATGGATAGAAATGTTTGATAAAACAATAATTAATGTGTTTTGACATGAAACAAAGTTCTTCACATACCTGAAAATTAATCGTAAAGTCTTTTTCTTTTTAAAAAATACTTTATTCTTCAGTAGTCGGATTTTCTAGGCTTATAATGTTGGCCACAAGAATATAGCATTATGAATAATAAATCAAATGTTTTTTCCTTTTTTGAAGAGCTACTGTATCATTTTTTAATTGAATTAAGCCAAGCTTTTTTGACAGACTGGTGAGTGGCTTACAAAAATTAAATCCGCACTGGAGCGGTAATCGATTGTTCATGGAAGCGAGAAAAATTGTTGGCGCAGAAGTTCAAGCTATCACTTATAGGTTACTCACTTAGTTTCATTTCATCAAATCGTGATCAAAATTTTAATTACCTACGAGTTTTGAAATTAAAGATTTTTAAAGTTTTATTGAGGGAATAAAATATTTCATCTATTGGAAATTTAATTGGGCAACGTTTCATGCTCAATTAACTTTATGGTAAATTGGTATTGTTCTCGGCAAATCATTTTTACTCTGCGAAAATTTCCTACTAATTATGCAAATATTACATCTGAAGGATATTAAAATCATCGCCTGTTTTTGTTGTTTGTAGAGAATTTTTACCAAAAATTCTGGGGAATGCATTTGAGACAACAGTTAGTCAATATCGTGGATATGACCCGGATGTTGACCCAACTCTGGTTAATGAGTTCAGTTCGGCAGCTTTCCGATTTGGTCATGGGATGATTCAAGTATGCAAATATGCCAAAACTTCCTTTTTTGGCAGAAATGGCAATTATGAACGAAGCAGAAAAAATTAACAAAACTAATAATTCATTATAGCAATTTCGGCAAATTCTTATTAATTACAATTAGATAAATCTTTTAGTTTAAAGATACCTTCGTTTTACCTTAAGTTTTCTAAGTATGTACGACCCTACCGACTAGAGTTTATCAAAAATTCCCACAAACTTCAGGAAATTTATCTACGTCTGGATCAGCATTTCCGTAATTCTTCCTTTGGAAGCTTTTCATTCGTTGAAGGAACACAACATACCGATCGTTTGATATTCGGCGTAAGCCTAGATCATATTCATTAACAATGATTTCAGTAATTGAACAAAACAAGTTTTTAGTCTGGTTAATTTGTTGTAAATGATATATTCTACTGACAAACAAAAAATAAACGTGATTAAGGTAAGTCTGATAAATAAGAATTTGGTGAATAGAAGTTATGGAAATTCTTAGGGTGGCATCGATCCGATACTGCGTGGCATGATGATATTACCGGTGAAACGACCACAACGGCTCACGAAATCGATAACGGAAAATATGTTTGGTAATACAGACTTGGGTTCTATTAATATACAACGTGGTCGTGATCATGGCTTACCTTCATATACACGATTTCGACAGTTTTGTGGACTTTCACGTGCTAACACTTTTGATGATGTTTGCTCTTTTTCTGTCATTCTAATTTTCAAATGTTTTTTTATCTGTCTAATTCTTCAAATATTCATTGATCAAATAATTATTAATTTTAATTTCCAAGAAAATATCAAAAAGTTTGGTATTTGCTTTATTGATAGTTTCAATTGTAGCATGTTGGATTTTCTTGGAAAATTTCAAAGAATAAAAGAGATTATTAATTATAAACAGAGAACGCTAATTAGATATAATCGTTGAATATTAAAATAGTTTAATTGAATTACAAGTTTCATTTAATGTTCCTTTGAATTTCAGTTTTCGCGCGAAATTATGAATCCTCAAATACGAGCAAAACTAAAGGAAGTTTATGGCACACCTGGTATGATTAATTCCGGAGAAGTCCACCGAAATTGTTACCTTCCTTGTTACCCATTTTTGTACTAAAATCTTACATTTTTATAGTAATAAAACTTTAACTATTTTTCGTAAAATGCAAACGATTACTTTACGTTTTAGATAAAGTGGACTTGTTTGTTGGTGGTTTGGTGGAAGATCCCGTTCAGAAAGGTTTTGTTGGACCAACTTTTGCATGCATAATTGGACCACAGTTTCAAAGGACACGAGATGGTGACCGGTAAAAATTGTTTTAAATTTAGTCCATCTTAGTTTTCTAAAGGTAAAATAAATTTTCCTTCACTTCTATGGAATTCGTTTCATTCTTTTTGATAGGTATCAACGTGAGGTATTACATTAGATATTGTTAATTTATGTTTCGTAGGTAGACAAAAAGTGATATGTAGAAGAGATTAAAGAATGACCAACTATTCCGTGATGTACGGTGATGAAATGCAATTTCAGGTTCTACTATGAGAATCCAGGTATCTTCACGCGAGCTCAATTGATGGAGATCCGTAAAAGTAGCTTTTCTAGGTTGCTGTGTGATAATGGTGATAATATCAGTAAAGTACCTCGTGAAGCATTCCGAATTGGTCAGATCACATCGTGTGCCGAAATACCACAAATAGACTTAACAAAATGGAGGGAATAATATATAATAAATAATAGCGACAACATTTGAGAATATTTCAGTTCAAGCAAAATTTTAAAATTCAATGTTAGATGGAAGTAGGAAAATCAGTTAAATGACCATGTAAAGTTTAAAAAAATGTATTAGACTGCTTTGAAATGATTTTCAGACAAAATTACTCAATCCGCACCATCTTGTGGAATGTGGAATGAAGTTGAAATAAAATTGAAATTGAAAATTGGTGGAAGCGAATAGACTGCATTATTTCTACCCTTTGATTCTATAAAAGGATTAGAGATTAATTAATTAATGTCAAGATAATTTATCCCTTTTGTTAAATGACTACAACAATTAGCTCTAACTTGTTCAACCTGAATATTGCTGGTGAAGCAAATTACTAGAATATTACCTCTCAATGAAAGACGCATTATTTCTTTCTCTTCTGACATCTCACAGATAATTGATATTTACTATTCCGTTACCATAATTATTTTCGATTTTTTTGTTTGTTCTTTTCACAACAATTTCTTTCTTCAGTTTCAAACTTCTTCGAAGTTGAGCATGAATAAAACTACGAATATCTACCTATTTAATTAATATTTTTATGTCATCGCTATTAAAGCTGATTGGATAATTAATAATAAAATGGAATCATTGATTGATCGGTGGATAAATATTCGCATTAATACATTGTTTGTTATAGCAATGAATGATAAGGGTATGATGAACTGATAAACTGATAAATAAATTCAGTTGATCACAGTGAATTTATTTTTATTATTACCCAAAGATACCATGTACTGAACTCGAGCATCTAACATTTTTGTGGTGATTTACCGAAAGGTTTGGAAACTGTCGGGAATTGACTTATCGTTGTCGTAGATCCGTAAATAAAAACCATAAAAAGTTGAAATCACAGAATGACGATGAAAAAAAAAAGAAATTGTAAATGGAAATCATCTTAACCCCTGTTATTTCCCGAGTGTACTTAAGTATGGTATTAAAATGTTTATGTGAGATGTCGCTGATATTCGTATCACAAATTGATACGGATCGTTTAAAATAGGATCCATGACAAGTTTACATGCCTTTAAAATGATTTTTTAATAATCAAATAGTTGAGGTTTTAGTGAAGTCAATTGAAAACAATAATTTATTTTCAAAACATTATTATTTGTCTTGATAACTTATTAGTTCAAAAAGTAGCAGTGGTCAACGATGACCAACAGTTTAGAAGGTAACATTTTTGCAAAGATAAAATGAAAACTATTAACGAAATCGTAATTAGAGCATTTGATATCACTACTTAGTCACCTGCTTTAACGATTCATTGATGAATGCGAAAATAATTGCATCCTTACTTATGTCCGGGATTGCGGGATACCTTAGGATGGAATAAAAATTTAGCTGTAGCATATCTCGGTAATTCGTGATCGTTGATAGATCTACAATCTCTGATATTCCAATATTTTCTAACTTAAATTATACTGCATCATGAAGTTGATATAATTGGCATTACACATCTCTCTTTTCATACCTAAATCTTTTCCAATAAATTGAGCAATAAATTAAGAATTTTATTTAGCGGAGATGATCGATTAATCGAATAACAATTGGATGAGAACAAAATTATATTAACAAGAGTTTATCCATGAAAAAACTTTTAAACTGCATTAGCATTTTAATCAATTTCATTTATTTATACATCATAAATCTTTCTCAAGCAAAAAGTTGTTCGCATCTTTTCCTTAATAACCCTTCCTTCCTTAATTTACAGAACTAATCATATCTTTTGCCTGTCATGCAAACCATTTCCTAAACTGCATGATTCATGAAGCTTAGATCGGATAAATCTTTGACTTTTCCATCATTTCCTAACTGATTGTTAGTGACAGTACAAAGATCGTATCAATGTGATCTTATCATAACGAGCATCTATAATGAATGAAACGAATTTTCTGATTTTGTCCATCGATTAGCTTAATTTTCTAAGCCTTATGTGGAACTTACTAGATGAAATGTTCTGCATTGAATTATTGCATCTCCTTGTCTATTATCAATCTGCTTATCAGTGTTTAAAAATAATCACAGAACTAATCCTAATTTTTAGATGATATCGGAAGATAAAAGGGAAGCGAAAGAATTGTTGTGGGGACAGTGTGAGTAACAATAACATAAGTATTATTGGCGTTGTTGGAATTTGTACTCATAACTTTTAAATTAATGCTAAGCTTTATTTTCGTTCTAAGTGTTATCACTTAACTACTCCTTATGTTCAGGAGTAGTTAACTGGCGCTATAAAGTTCCCATGATATTTCAAACGATATTTATCCCAGACATTAAACAGAAATGTCTGCATCTTCGACAAAACTTTCAAATTACAAATGGAATTCATTACCAGCCATTTACTTGGATCCAAATTCTATGCAACATATTTAGTTAAAGGTTATATTGTTTCAAGAATCCCGGCAATAACATTCATATAATCTTCGATCCCGAACCCACAACACTTAAATTTTAGAAAAATTCTGAAGAAAACAGAAAGTTTGAAGTTTTGGAAGCAAATGACGGTATTAATTTATGATCGCTGCAACCGTAAATTGTTAATGAATTAGAAATCATTTCTACTACAAATCGCAGTATATTTTTCAGGTTATGTGCTGTAATTTAGGTTTAGAAATTGCCACTATAAGACACCCTACAGGCATTTTTTCTTGGTTTTTAGGAAGTTATTTGAAGTTAAACTATGACTGAGACACTGAGCGATACTAATAATGCAAATGTGCACAAAGCCTATAAAATTTCACTTTAAAGCAACTTCAAATGTTAAATTTAATTGAATAATAACCCAAAACACAAAACTGATTGATTAAAAATGTTTGGTACAAATAAGATTATTTCAATAATAAAAAATTAGGCTAAACCGAAGCTAAATTCCACCTGGAATCTATGACATTCGATTTCACATAGCAAAGTATCGGTCCTTTGAGTTTAATGCAAAAAATAATTCGAGAAAAGAGTGTTCTGCTACGAAAGGTGAGCAAAGAACAATGATATGTCCAAAATTATGGGAATTTTTAGATCTTAAGTCTCTAATAAGATTGTAATGTGGCAAGAAATGATCTTGTTATCAATTTTCATGAAATATATTGTAATTTTTATTCAGTGATTATCGTTTTCTACTCAAATGCATGAAAATGTAATCATTGATTTCATTATGTTTTCCTTCCATTGTTTCTTTTTGTTTTCAAATAAAACTTTTGCATATCAAATTCATTTAAATTTAGTGAAGAAAACACATACATTTGGATGGAAAAATGGAATGACGAAAAATTAAGTAGTTAATCCAACTTGGATTTAAGTCATTAAAGCCAAACGTTTTCCGGTTCCTTTGCTAAGTTATAATTGCAATCACAATTACATTTGGAATTATAACAAAGTAATAACAATAGTTTTATTATTACTATTATTATTATTATTACTATTATTATTATTATTATTATTATTATCATTATTATTATTATTATTATTATTATTATTATTATTATTATTATTATTATTATTATTATTATTATTATTATTATTATTATTATTATTATTATTATTATTA